ATTTTTTTTCCGGGACGATCTGAGACATTTTTTTTTTCAGGGCTCAAAAAAAGGCAGTGTATAACCTTCCTTTTTTACCAAAAATCGACTACACCAAAATTTCTCGGGAAAACATTTTTTCTTATTAATTTGGGTGCGTAGAATCCAAATCAATTCGTACTTTTTCGATCAGACTTCTCAATCAAAAGTTATAGACTAGAAACCAATTTCGAAAAAAAATTCAAAGGGCTGTAACTTTTGAACTAGTAGCCAATCTTGGAACTGTTTGAAATTATGGATTCTACAGGCCACATTCTATAAGAAAATTTTTTTTCCGGGTCGATCTGAGACAATTTTTTTTTCGGGCTCAAAAAAAGGCAGTGTATACCTTCCTTTTTTACCAAAAATCGACTACACCAAAATTTCTCGGGAAAACACTTTTTCTTATTAATTTTGGTGCGTAGAATCCCAAACAATTCGTACTTTTTCGATCAGACTTCTCAATCAAAAGTTGTAGACTAGAAACCAATTTCGAAAAAAAATTCAAAGGGCTGTAACTTTTGAACTATTAGCCCGATCTTGGAACTGTTTGAAATTATGGATTCTACAGGCCACATTCTATAAGAAAATTTTTTCCCGGGTCGATGTGAGACAATTTTTTTTTCGGGCCTCAAAAAAAGTATAACCTTCCTTTTTTGCCAAAAATCTACTGCACCAACATTTCTCGCGAAAACACTTTTTCTTATTAATTTTGGTGCGTAGAATCCCAAACAATTCGTACTTTTTCGATCAGACTTCTCAATCAAAAGTTTTAGACTAGAAACCAATTTCGAAAAAAAATTCAAAGGGCTGTAACTTTTGAACTATTAGCCCGATCTTGGAACTGTTTGAAATTATGGATTCTACAGGCCACATTCTATAAGAAAATTTTTTCCCGGGTCGATGTGAGACAATTTTGTTTTCGGGCCTCAAAAAAAGGCAGTGTATAACCTTCCTTTTTTGCCAAAAATCTACTGCACCAACATTTCTCGCGAAAACACTTTTTCTTATTAATTTTGGTGCGTAGAATCCCAAACAATTCGTACTTTTTCGATTAGACGTCTCAATCAAAAGTTATGAGCAAAAAACCAATTTCGAAAAAAAATTCAAAGGGCTGTAACTTTTGAACTAGTAGCCCGATCTTGGAACTGTTTGAAATTATGGATTCTACAGGCCACATTCTATAAGAAAATTTTTTCCCGGGTCGATGTGAGACAATTTTTTTTTCGGGCCTCAAAAAAAGGCAGTGTATAACCTTCCTTTTTTGCCAAAAATCTACTGCACCAACATTTCTCGCGAAAACACTTTTTCTTATTAATTTTGGTGCGTAGAATCCCAAACAATTCGTACTTTTTCGATCAGACTTCTCAATCAAAAGTTTTAGACTAGAAACCAATTTCGAAAAAAAATTCAAAGGGCTGTAACTTTTGAACTATTAGCCCGATCTTGGAACTGTTTGAATTATGGATTCTACAGGCCACATTCTATAAGAAAATTTTTTCCCGGGTCGATGTGAGACAATTTTTTTTTCGGGCCTCAAAAAAAGGCAGTGTATAACCTTCCTTTTTTGCCAAAAATCTACTGCACCAACATTTCTCGCGAAAACACTTTTTCTTATTAATTTTGGTGCGTAGAATCCAAAACAATTCGTACTTTTTCGATCAGACTTCTCAATCAAAGCCATAAGTCGTGTGAATCAGAAACCATCTCGTAAGTTGAGCTCAGTTCGAGATGACCGGAGGAAACGTGTATTTTGGCCATTGAGACGCTGGTAGCAGCAGTTTTTTTTGGAATTGTGGGATTGAGATTTAATGTTTCCATGGAGCTCAAAAGAAATGTCACATGTCGCTTCAGCCTCGTCCACATTATTTGCAATTCAAGATGAGAGTGTAGAAAATGCTAAAATAACAAGAGTGGGGTTGGTGAATTTTGGGGGGCGCGCTCTCGAAAATCCAAAAGCGTTCACCTGTTGCGCGTCCAAAACGCGAATTGTGCAAATTGACCGTAAAAATGTGGGTCAAGTGCTCGACCGTAAATTGGCAAAATTCGGCACGGATTTGTGCGAATTTAATTAAGGCGTGTCGTCGTCGGCGGCGATAGTGAAAGCTATCCGAAAATGACAAAAAAAAGGCGCGCGCGAGGGTGGGGACCGGTGGTAATTGTAAACCGGCGAGGGCGTCGTCGCATGTAGCGTAATGAGGATTTTTTTTTCTTGTTCGTAGCGGTCGATCTTAGGAGTGTAATCTTTTAATATGGTCGCCTGCAATGCACGCATATACTGTTCCATACACACTCACACACATATAAACGGCGGCTAGTAAGCCAACTTCTCAGTGTTGGTCTTTGACAAGTCGGCGCCGTTCACACATGAGCCGACAGATCTCTTCTTTTCCGACACGCGCGCGATTGTGATAGCGACCGGCAATTGCTGATATAATTCGATTGGTAATTGTCTCGTCTCGACTGACTCGATCTGTGACATCCACTACAACGAAATTATTAATTCCTCTTCGACTTTTTTGTGATTAGTGAACGTCGATTGAAAAAAAAAACCGCGCGAAACCTCGAAGAATGCGAACCGAGGAGAGATGCGCCAACAAGCGAAAAAAGGTTTTTCCGGCTGAAGAACACTGCTCTTGTGATAAACGGGAGGAAATTTGTGATTAATTTGTGATAGGGGTACCAAATGCAACGATGTCGTCACCTGGTGCTTCAATTTCGAAAATATTCCGCACGAGCATGTGGAATAAAAAGGCGCGCGCGATAGTTTTGCTAGTTCTAGTCCTTCCGGTTGCGGTCTGCGAAAAAGGGCCGTCGCCGACGAGGTCGAATAGTATAAGTAAATTGAGAGACAATTCCAAAATTGAAGACTTCACGTCTTCGCCGAAAATCGGCTGTGGTGCGTGCAAAGTGCGAGAGGAGATCAAACGGAGAAGCCTGGAGGTGATCAAGGTGAACCTACTCAAAAAGATGGGCTTCCAGACGGCGCCCAACGTCACCGGGCGAGTTCTACCCCAAGTCCCGTCCCACATCCTCGCGATGGTCGAGCAGGGCTACACGCAGGGGATACAAAGCGACGAGCCCCAATTCGCCGGCGGATCTTCCGACGTCCAAGACGAGGACGACTTCCACGCGAAGCCCGAGAGGTTTCTTAGTTATGCACAACCATGTAAGTATCAGGAGGTGTCAATATTTACAAATCACCAATTAGACTCGCTTTAATTACGAAAAAAGATAACCTCCGCTATCAAAGTGCAACCAAAACAGTCTCGAAAATTCGTCCAGGTCACGCTGCACTCTGACTGCACTTCGGGTGACGTAGACCCGCAAATTAATTACGTAATTTCGCGCCAAACTTTCGTTGACCCACCTAAATTGAAGGAGGTACAGTTTGCGCTCGTGCGAATCTGACGTGATGAATTTGGTCGTCTAGCTTACTGTCTGTCGTTAATTGCACTGAGTCGCTTACGCAACCCAATGACCTCCCAATCTCAGCTGACCTAAACGAGAACGTCCAAATCAGCATCGCCAGCATCTAATAGATTAATAGCGCGTACGTTTACAAAAATCAATTAGCAATTGCGTAAATTAATCGACTGTAATTTGCCGTCGATTCGATCTAATTACTAATTACACTATCCGCCGCATCCAAAAATACATGGTAACCGAAACAATCGTATCCAGATTTCTGATTGTTTTAATCCAAGTGTTAATTTTAAACTTTATCGTCGCGCCAGACGATACCCATTTTTTCCACTCGAATTATCTCTGTTGCGACAACGGCATTTCACGAATCGGAAACGATTGTCCGCAAAAGAGCAAACGAAAAGTTTCAAATAATACAAAAATGTAATTAATTAGCTGCTTAATTAGCGAAAAGAATCTAAAATTATACTTAATTACTAAAAAGTACGTTAATGTCTAGGCAGATGCGCAAATTTCAATTAATTGGCCAACAAAAAATTCAAAATGTAATTAATTTGCCGCTTAATTAGCGGAACTTAATTATTGAAGAGTACGCGTATGTCTAAGTAGATAACAAAATCACATCAAATTTGTGTTAATTATAGCGAATGAACACAACGACTAATTTAATTAATTGAATAAATTAGGCTCACAATTGTAATGTATTATATAATGCCAATATTCATTTTATCTCTGTTACGACAACGCCATCTCACAAATCGGAAACGATTGCCCGCAAATTTCAACTAATCAGCAAACTTAATTACCGAAAAGAATCTATCATTTAAAAAATGCTAATTCAATTAAGCTTATATACATAATTACTAAAAAATTACGCGAATTTCTAGGCAGATACGCAAATTTCGGTTAATTGGCATGTGAAAAATTCAAAATGTAATTAATTTGATGTTTAATTAGCGGAACGAATCTGAAGTACGGTTTGCTAGGTCAATTCAGTTCTTACTTAATTACTGAAAAGTACCTGTATGTCTAAGCAGATAACACAATCACATCAAATTAGGGTTAATTATAGCGAATGAACTTAACGACTAAATTAATTAAGTGAACAAATTAGGCTTACGCTTGAAAAATATATTATACATAATACTAATATTCATTTTATCTTCGTTATGACACCATCTCACAAATCGGAAACGATTGTCCGCAAAATTTCAAGTAATTAGAAAACGTAAAAGTTTCAAATAATACAAAAATTCTGCATAATTAGCGATCTAAAATTAAAAAAAAATTGCTAATTCAATTAAGCTTTTACATAAGTACTAAAAAGTACGTGTATGTCTAGGTAGATACGCAAATTTCAGTTAATTGGCACGCGAAAAATTCACAATGTAATTAATTTGCTGGTTAATTAGCGGAACGAATCTGAAGTACAATGAAGTAAGTTCTTACTTAATTACTGAAGAGTGCGTGTATGTATAAGCAGATAAAACAATTACATCAAATTTGTGCTAATTATAGTGAATGAACACAACGGATAATTTAATTAATTGAATAGATCAGGACCACACTTGAAATATATAATATACACAATACAAATATTCATTTTTCCCACGCGAATTGTCTCCGTTACGACAACGGCATCTCACGAATCGGAAACGATTGTCCGCAAATTTCAACTAATTAGCAAACTTAATTACCGAAAGGAATCTATCATCTAAAAAATGCTAATTCAATTAAGCTTATATACATAATTACTAAAAAAATACGCGAATTTCTAGGCAGATACGCAAATTTCGGTTAATTGGCATGTGAAACATTCAAAATGTAATTAATTTGATGTTTAATTAGCGGAACGAATCTGAAGTACGGTTTGCTAAGTCAATTCAGTTCTTACTTAATTACTGAAAAGTACCTGTATGTCTAAGCAGATAACACAATCACATCAAATTAGGGTTAATTATAGCGAATGAACTTAACGACTAAATTAATTAAGTGAACAAATTAGGCTTACGCTTGAAAAATATATTATACATAATACTAATATTCATTTTATCTTCGTTATGACACCATCTCACAAATCGGAAACGATTGTCCGCAAAATTTCAAGTAATTAGAAAACGAAAAGTTTCAAATAATCCAAAAATTCTGCATAATTAGCGATCTAAAATTAAAAAAAAATTGCTAATTCAATTAAGCTTTTACATAAGTACTAAAAAGTACGTGTATATCTAGGCAGATACGCAAATTTCAGTTAATTGGCACGCGAAAAATTCAAAATGTAATTAATTTGCTGGTTAATTAGCGGAACGAACCTGAAGTACAGTTTGCTAATTCAATTAAGTTCTTACTTAATTACTGAAGAGTACGTGTCTTGGCAGATAACACAATCACATCAAATTTGTGTTAATTATAGCGAATGAACATAACGACTAAATTAATTAATTCAACAAATTAGGCTTATACGTGAAATATATAATAATAATAATACCAATATTCATTTTATCTTCGTCACGACAACACCATCTCACAAATCGAAAACGATTGTCCGCAAAATTTCAATTAATTAGAAAACGAAAAGTTTCAAATAATACAAAAATTCTGCATAATTAGTGATCTAAAATTTAAAAAAGTTGCTAATTTAATTAAGCTTTTACATAATTACTCAAAAGTACGTGTATGTCTAGGCAGATACGCAAATTTTGAGTTAATTGGCAAACGAAAAATTCAAAATGTAATTAATTTGCTGTTTAATTAGCGGAACAAATCTGAAGTACAGTGAAGTAAGTTCTTACTTAATTACTGAAGAGTGCGTGTATGTATAAGCAGATAAAACAATTACATCAAATTTGTGCTAATGTTAGTGAATAAACACAACGGATAATTTAATTAATTGAATAAATCAGGATCACACTTGAAATATTACACAATACAAATATTCATTTTTCCCACTCGAATTGTCTCCGTTACGACAACGGCATCTCACGAATCGGAAACGATTGTCCGCAAATTTCAATTAATTAGCAAACGAAAAGTTTCAAACAATACAAAAGTGCTGCTTAATTAGGAAAAAGAATCTAAAATTAAAAAAAAATGCTAATTCAATTAAGCTTTTACATAGTTACTAAAAAGTACGTGTATGTCTAGGCAGATACGTAAATTTGAGTTAATTGGCAAACGAAAAATTCAAAATGTAATTAATTTGCTGTTTAATTAGCGGAACAAATCTGAAGTACAGTGTACTAATTCAATTGAAGTTCTTACTTAACTACTGAAGAGTGTGTGTATGTACAAGCAGATAAAACAATCACATCATAATTCATTTCTCGCACTCGAATTATCTCGTTACTACAACGGCATCTAGGAGACAAATTTTGTGTCCGCAAATGAGCTAATAATTGATGCGTAATTAGCGAAAAATTTGCTTAGTCTTCACACTGTTTGCTAATTCATTTGCACTCTTTACATAATTACTGAAAAATACGTGCACGTCTAAAAAGAACACATTTGTATTGGATTTGCGTTAATGATGGTTAACGAACACAATTACTAATTTAATTAATGAATCATTCATGAAACTACTTTCGGCAATTTTAATTAATTATCAAAACAAGAACGAAAGATATCAATTTTCAATACGATGCAAACTCAAATTACTAAATAATTAGCGACTTTTGCTTAGAAATAAATGAGTTTGCTAATTTCCGTAACTGGAAATAATTAGCTGTACTCCTAATGAAATGAATTATTTTTTATCGTGTTTTACCGACTCCACCAGGCAATAGATTTTGCGTTGTTAATTAATTAGGCAAGAGGACGATACTAATTAAATAAATTAGAGGTTCGAGTGCATAGTTATTAAGATATAATTACGCTCTTATTGAGAGTTTCAATTGTTCGCTTAATTACTATAAAATTAGCGGCGAATGCCAATAAATTCGTAATTAAAAAATCTATCTGCTCGAGCTTCAATTTTGTTTGCTTGTTCAATTGCAATTATCACGTAATTAAACTCCAAACCAAAATAATTAGAATATGTCTAAGTCTAATTGTTATTTTTTTTAATGCTCATTAATAGCCAATTAACTACCTACTTTACATAATTTCTAAAAATTTTAAGGGTTTCTTAATGTCATTAATTAAATTCTGCGCACATAACAATCAATTTCGAGAAGTGAATCGTGTTCCATGCGAGGGTTGCGATAAAGACTGCCTCTTAATAAGGTGCATATCGCCAAATGGAAGATTATTGGACAAATTCAGAGAGGGCTAATTGATTACTAAATGAATCACATCGATAGTACAAAAATTGGATCCCGTTCCTTAATTTTTTAAAAGAATCAGAATTACATGCTAATTATTAGCGCCTCTTTTGACAAGTCAATTTGAGTAATTAGCACAAAATCTCGTTTCGCAGGCTTATGCAAAAGAGAAAATTGGCTAAGCAATTTTTAGAGCTCAATTTCATGTACCTCGAAATTATCAGGTTGCTTTAATGAACGCAATTACTAATTTAATTAATTGAATAAAATTAGACCCTCATATTATACACAATACTCAAGAAAAACAGTTTTTTGATTTTTGAAATGAAGTGTTAATTAAACTTTATCACGTCGGATGATATTCACTTTTCGCACTCAAATTATCTCCGTTACGACAAAGGTATCTCGGAGAAAAGTTTTCCCGCCAATTGGAAACCATGTCCGCCAATCTTAATTAATTAGCGAATACTGAAAATTAAATTAA